GAAATTAGAGAAAAGTTACGAGACCGAGAGGCGTAAGCTATTTAAGTTCATAAATCGCAATTCTAGATTAAGGAGGGATCTAGATAGGGTTTTCATTTTTGATTATTTTCAAAAACTTTAGGGCATGACCGACCAGAAGTCACAGAGGGTCCGGGATCTGATAAATAAGTAGCATGATAAGAAATAGCTCACTATGGGATAATAAGACAGCTTAAGACCAAGCCAACTCGGGCAAATATTGATGTTTCTGTATTGAAGGCATTGACTGTTACAGACGACGATAGGACCAAGGTAGTAAACCTATCTTTAATCCCTCTTGAAACTACGGATCTCTTAAAGAAGGGGTTACATTTTTTACCAAGTAATGAAAGAAACGCTCTTAGTGATATTCTGGTAGAAGTTGTCAAAATAACGGATAAAGAGACAAGACGAGAGATGGAAGTGGAAATAATCCCAAGATCCGAACACATCAAGAACAGATACACAGGAGCAGATTGGCTGGTATTTGGGAAAACAAACATTACGAAGGAGTGATCAAATAGTTCTTCAGGTGGATAAGTGAGAAGCGGCGGTTGTAATAGACAGGAAACATTACACGGAGAAAATGGAAAGTAGCCTTGGCGACCGGAACACTTATAAAGTACTAAGGATCCAACCACGAGGAGCAACGGGACACCGAATAATATGCTCAAGGAAATGCCTAATAGTTGGGAAATTGACGGATGATGACATCTTTAATGGAAAATGACGCCCACGGACTACCGAAGATATACAGGGAAGGAAATCCGCTAAGACTAATAGTCAACAGCAAGCATGGAGCAATACACAAACTAACGAAATTAATTTGCTTGAAGCTCAGGAAAGTAAATAACAGACTCTCGAATACCGTTAAGAATTCATATGAATTTTCTCAAAGGATCCAAAACATTAGGTTAGTGGGGTCGGAAATGTTGGTGAGTTTCGATGTACAATCGATGTACACAAACATCTCAGGTGGGAAGGCAGTAAGCACCTTGATGGAGATATTGGAGCGAGAAGAGGACATCTTGCAGGCAGAACAGAAACGGAAAGGATCGTTAACAAGACTGATAAACCTGACAGTAACGACCATATATTTTACATTTAACGGCAGTATCTATGAGCAAATATTTGGATTACCACTCTCACCTCTTTTGGCAAATGTTTACATGGACAAGTTAGACAAGTTCAACATTGAACCTAATAAAAGCAAGCAGTACCACAACATTTGTGGGTTGGCACACAAGAGACTAGGGCATGGCAAGTCATAGACTTGGTATTAGAGATAAAAGCAGGATAAACGTGGAGGAGACTGGAGCTAGTTGGTTGACAGCTTTACCAGAGACGTGGTCCATGTAACAAAGGCGTGACCATGAGACTTACTCAGATGCTTTAGCGTCGAATCAGTCACCCAGGTGCAGGGGATGTGCGAATTACGTCTCGAGTGGCACAGATGGGGGGCAGGTGTCTAGTGTAATACAGGGAGATAGCAGACGGATTCTACGGGGCGAGGGAGACTCTGATAGGACCCATGGAAAGAGGACTACGTAACAATATGGCAGACTCTGGTCAAAATTTCCAGCACAAGGGTAAATGGGGTGATTACGACAGCGTGGAGTGTAAAGGGTTTTCATGAATGCCACTCAGAGAAGCACACTACACTACATCTAAATATGCATAGTAAAAATAGTGACAGTGAAGGTGTGATAGTATATAAGAAATGTGAATAGCCCAGGGCAGAAGGGGAGATACCACAACTGCTTAGCACACGCTTGGTCAAAGCAAAGGCTTACTTGTCTCTTTGACGAGTTGTTGTATGGTGCTAAGAATGACGAGACTCACTGATGATGCCGACTATGATGCCGGCGAAAGTTTTAGGCATGTACCAGGGTCCGACTTTGGAAAGTATTATGCATATAATAGACTCCGGACTAGGTGCGTTCCTCTAAGTCTTCCTACATATGACCAAGTTGCTAAAATAAGATCAAACAACTTTTATACAATGAAAGGAGACTGAGACCACACAAAAGGCCACACCATCTTGGTCTTCATACTTTCAATATTAAAATAATTTCATCAAGTGAGCAAATGTGCCATGCTAGCATGACCTATTTAAAAAAAAATGATTTAGTAAATAGGAAATATAAATAAATTACATTGTTAAATGTGTGAACCAATGAAATTTAGCAAGTTATAAAAGGTGTAGGTGGAAATAATAACGGCTTTGTGCAACCAACTTGATGTAAATGATTCGTAAAGTTGCTAGTAAATTCACCTCTTTTCGCCATGTTCACCAGAATCGGTTTCTCGTGGCGAAGGCAGCATAGATAGACTTTCATTGTTTTCAGCTGTCAAAGTGCTAGTGTAGCCACGACCTATGGACCAACCACGGACACGCGCTAAACTATTCACACTGTTGGAAGAATCTCGTCCAACTTGGAGAGCTTGACCGGCACTGGTGTTACCAAGACTGTTGGTTGAGGCCATTTCAGCAATAAATGGATTTATAGCCTCAGCAGCAACACTGTCACTGAAACCGACATACCCAAACCCACAAGACCCAGTGTTTTCATTTCCAGAAGGACAAAAGGCATAAGACTCTGCCTCATTAGTAGAAGCACAGTAAGAAATCACTTCAATGTCGGAGCTTGCGGTCGTGGCAAAAGTAACGGTGGTAGCATTGTCTGCATTATCCAATATATCCCCGGTATCAACCGGATCTAGATTCGCCTCAACAATGCACGGAGTATGATGATCCTCCTGATCCCTCTGGTTCAGATTAAATTCTTATTGCAACCAAATAGAAATGCAAGGAATAAACAGAAGGAAAAGTTGGTTGAGTTTACTTAGTATGAAGTAGGAGTAATTGTATCACTTATATGAGAAGTGTATTCACCCTATTTCGTTTAAGGTGATGAAGGACTGGTAGTAGAATTTTCCCACAATGATATGAGTAGAACAGATGTTTCCATTAAATTCCAAATAGCCTTGCATTCTCAAGTCGTTTTTATCCAGAGTGGATTGCAGTTTCGACCTCCCATAGGTCTTATCAACACCCACACCCCTTCTGAAACTCTGCTTATATACGAAAAATAGTTGTACCACATTTGGTATGATAGGGAAAATAGTGAAAGCTAACATAAAGATAACTGAGCTAAGATACAAAAGGAGGATTAGGATCTAGAGACGAAAAATAAATAAAACGTAACGATAAAGTGAACCATAGCTGAGTAAATGTAGGGCCCTGAACCCCCTATTGCTAGCAATCAAAAGCAAATCACTACATAGTCTGTTATCAATATTTTAGATATATCAGACAGTTAGTGTATATAAGTAAAACGACTCATGTACAGATATGTAGGTAGGCATATATATATATATTTATTTATATATATATATATCAATACTCCGAAGGCCAAATAGTTCTGACTGACATCTATATACTAAAAATAAATTAACCCGTGGCTGTGAATTCTATTTACAATGCAGTAAACCAAGAGTGGTGCAAAATTTCCTATTATACTATCGTGAAATATCGACTAGTATTCTCGAATGGCTTGAACCAATATCAAAAGCTTCGTCAATTCCAGCCACCAGATCTCTGAGAGTAGCTTCTAAGGCGAAGTTGGATATTCCTTTCCTCTCATGGATGTAAAATAGTGTAGCAAATAACATGGCAATTATGCAAGGCTGTTGGAGACAGGATGTGTACTCATTTTAATAAATCATCATTGTAATTTTTAAATGGTTAACTATTTGTTCTAAGTAAGCGGGCAAATAACTCTAAATTCCTGAAAGGAATGCAATAATTCCTTAAGTCTTCCTCTGAGTTGAAAATGTATGCATATTTATTAAATACTTGAGGAATAGGGTTGAATGAATGACTATATAACCATGTAGTTATACATAAATGTTGAAAAGTATCAAAAATATTTAATTTGGCTTGGAAAATAAATTTGTGACAAGTACGAGAACAAATTCTAAATAAACTAAGATCAATTTCTCCTTAGAAAAGAATCAACAGGAGATAGATTCTGCTAATTGAATCCTCAAAATGTGAGCCAAGGTCTCAAGCTTCGATAAAAGAATTTGATTACTCTCAAGACTGAGAGTTTATAGTATTAGTCACCGCGTAAGAGTTATACGGAATGATAGCAAGAATTATATTATGAAAATACGGAGACTTAATGAATTAGAAAGCCAAATCTGGTTTCCTGCATACATGATTGAGAACATCGGGTAAGCAAGCTTGGCCTAAAACTACTCTACTTAAGCAAAAAAGAATAGCGAAGGTATGAAGACCAAGATGGTGTGGCCTTTTGTGTGGTCGCAGTCTCCTTTCGTTGTATAGAAGT